AACTCAGGAAAGTCAGGTTCTCTTGGCTAGGCAATGAGGAGCCACTGCAGTTTTAAGGGTTTTGAGCTTGGGAGTGACCTGACCTGAAGGGCGTCTTCAGGAAAATAAATGAGTGGCGGCAGGTAGCAGGACCACGACCCAAAATGGTTTTAAATCAGGTCTTTCATTGACTTATATGATAGGGAGTCTGGAGGGAGGCTCAGGTGTGGTGTGGCCAGGTTTCTGGATCTACTTTGGTATCAGTCAGCTTTGTGCTACTACAACAGAATCCCGACACGGGCTGCTTACAAAGTGAAAAGGTTCATTTAGCTCCACAATCAGGCAGCTCCACTGGCTTAGTCTGGGGAAGGTGGCAGATGGCAATGCATCATGTCAGGGCCTACACAGGAGCAGTCACATCTCCAACCAGAGCACACTCAGGTCAGAACCCAGTTCAAGGACACACCCCCAATGACCTGAGGACTTTGCACAAAGCCCCACCTCTTGAAGTCCACAGTACCTCTCAGTACTTCTACCTCATGGCTAAACCTTTAATATATGGATCCTYGGGGGACACGATTAAATCACCAAACCACATCAACCTGTCTTCAATTTGACTTCCTCCAGGCACACAAGACATCACTCRGAAAAATTATGTCACAAACATTTTATTGCTCACGTCAAATTGGAAATGAGCTTTCTAGGGCTTAGTATTTTGTTGTTGTTGTTGTTTTGTTTTGTTATCTTCTGGTGGTGCTGAGGTTTGAACCCAGGACCTTGATCATGCTAAGCAGGTGCTCTACCATAAGCTACACCCCCCACCCCCTAACCAGGACTTACTCTAAACATGTTTCCTGAAAGACTCAGGCATATTTGTCTCCATATCTTGGTGGTCCAAATATGGATTCAGTCTCATTCCTGAGCCCATTTCGGACAAAGAGATAACGGTGATCATGACTGAAACTTATCAGCTTGTTTAGTGGGAACTTGGGTCTAACCTGTGTGAACGGTGTCAAGTTTACGGTTCTGCTGAATAGTTCTGCTAACCCTAAGCGCCCCCGGATTCTCAGTGTTAGAGGCTAGAGGGGGCTTAAGTGCCATGTGTCCTGCATTCCCCACAGTGCTACATCTTCTGCAGGGCTCTCTTACTTCACCAGTGGGGTGGACACAGGCTGCCTGGGCAGCCTATTCAGGTCAGGTTGGGTGGGTGACCCATGACCCTGGGGATGAGGCCTGTCAATCAGATTCCTCTCCTGGGAAAACTAAAATGTGAAGTGGATCAAGAGGGGAAAATGAAGTTAAGACTGTTTCTACAATTGCCATGACCTGGGGTCACCAACATGCAGAAAATTGTAGGGGAGATCCTGGATTCAACAGAGGAAGCCTGGGGGTAGGGAGAAGAGAGGAGGGGCCTGCACACATGTGCACACACACACACACACACACACACACATGCGCGTGCACGCACACACAGGCATGTAGATGGGCAGTTTCTCCTCCCAGCTTCCTCTGTGGGCATAGGATCAACTTCTTTTTGCTAAGGAAACATAGAGGTCTGTATAGTCCCAGGACTAAGTACAGCCTGGTTCAAAACACAGAACTCCATGTGCCTGGCACCTTGAGCTCATCTCTCACAAGCTAGGTGGCCCTTTCCTTTTCTGCACAATCACCCCAATGGGCTCAGAACCCATTAGGATCTTTCCACTCTGACGTGCCAAGGAAAGGGGGTAGGGAAAGGAAGCAATCAATTTCTTTAACCATTGTTACTGAGAGCTGCTGCTCTGAACAAGCGGGAGGTAGCAGTGAGCACTAAATCAATGTCAAGGCTCCCAGGAGACCCACTGTGCAGGCGCTCCCCCCAGGGACTCCTACCAGTTGTTTTCTGGCAGCCCCTGTGGGGAGATCCACTGGGGGTGACAAGGAGGAATGCATGCACAGGCCTCTGGCACACAGCCCTGTTTCCCTAGCTCCTGGAAATGGTCCAGGGCATCAAAAGAGCTGCTTGCATGGAATTTCACAACTCTCACACACACAAAAAGACCAGGARAGAGTCCTGCTACCTGGGAAGAAAAGTGTTCTAACAGAAAGGAAGCAGGGTGGGTGGAGAGAAAGGCCATGCCTGGGCTAACCCACCAGAGTGGACACAGAGGCTGCTGGTGTGCAGCCTTTCATGCAGATAAGGTGATAGTGCACGTGTTTAACCACTGTGTCATTTTAATAACAAACTTCCACATCACWGTGGAGATATCCAGGGACCCAACAAGAATCCAGGGCAAAACCTGAGTTAGTTTTGGTTCTATGCTGCAAAGTGGAGCAATGGAATGAATGGCCTGAGCTATTTATTTGCCTAATCTGAACTTCTGTCTATAAACTCTACCAGAATAGAGTAATATAGTCTCATATCAGTACAGCATTTTCTCATTTTTCAAAGTGCTTCCCCATGCACTATTTTATTTGATCCTCACAATAAACAACACTTCTTTTATTATTTCATCCTGTAATTCTTTACTGAGTATCTACCACATGATCAGCAGAGACAGGGACTGCAGTCAGCAGGGGGCAAAACACAGCATGTTCCCTATGCACAGCAAGCTGTCAAATCAAGAGGCACACAGCCAGCAGAGAGAACCATGCAGATCTGCCAGGCTCGGCTTTCCCTGTGAGGAGAGCAGAGCAGCCGACCACCAGCAGAGTCACAAGGATGATGCTCTGAGTCACACCTCTGGGTGCTGAGAATCTGAGTGGTCCAGATTGAAGTACTCAGCTGGAAAGGATGGTAGCTGGTGTTACTGGAACTCTCTGCTTCCCCCTCTCCTTCCAACACAAGCATGCTGGGGAGTGCCAACTGTGGCAAAGTCTGACCCCAGGAGACACTTCCAGACAGGACAAAGTGCCTACCCACTCCCTAGCATCAAAACCAAAAGCAATGGGGCCAGGCCAAGGGCTCACATCAGTTCATGAAGCACCAAACCTTCTCTGTCAAACTCCTGGTCAGGCAGGGCAGGCCCATGGGGCTCACAGGGTCCTTGAAGGTGGCCAGCAGATCCATGCGCTTTTTGAATGCTTAGTTGTWTTGTTTTGGCCTTTTTCTCTTTCTGACATCTCTTCCCTAGATAGTGGCTAATTTTCTCACTCTCTCTCCTCCTCTCCTTTTGATCAGTTTCTCTTCTACTTCAGTCTTCTTTAAATATCTCTCTTCTCTTCCATGCCCCTGAAGTCTTCCACACACCTCCACCTCGTCACCTAGGGCAGGCCACCTGCCAGAAAGGTGCGCTGCCTCCAGGCCAAATCCACCTGAGCRCTCAGTAGGTGCTAAGTATGCTTCCAAGGGATCAACTATATGAGAGTGAATCATCATCGCCACAGCCCCACCAGACAGACACTGTTATTAGGCCCCTTTTCACAAAAAAGGAAAACAAGGCACAAAGCTCAGGATGCGGAGGGACCCAGGAACTAGCTCAAGATCACCCATCCATGGAGCGCAGCGCAGGGTTTGCAGATGCGCTGAAACCATGCGACATGGCAGCCCTCGGGTGGATGAAGGAATGGCAAGGCAGTTCTCCCTCACCTTCCACTACAAAAGGCTGGCCTCCTCCTGGAGAAAGGGAGCTGGAAGAATAACCTGACCCATAGGCACGCTTTGCCTCTTCCTCTTAACATTCCACCAGAAGTTGCAAAAGAGAGAGTCCCAACCAGTGAGGAATAAACAAGGCAGAAAAAACAGATTTTGGGAAATCCCTCTTAAATCTTGGGTATAGCATTTAGCCTCCAAGATCAGCTCTCTGCCATTCATCAAAATAAGTCTCCGTCGCCTCATTTCCCTATAAGAGGGAGGGCATAACTTCAAACCTAATCCCCAAACCCCAAAGCACACGCCCCAGGCTGCCTCGGTGCCGGCTCCTGCACTGGCTCCCACTACCCAACCTCCCCGGGCTCTGGACCGCGAGCGGCAGCCTCTGCATCAGGGAGGAAAATCCGCGGCAAGAGGAGAGAAGGGCGGGGGCCAGATCTCGGTACCAGCTCTGCGGCTCCGCAGCCGGGATGCGCCGGCCGGGGCTCCGGCCTCGAGTCCCCACGYCCTCACCGCGCTCCTCCCTCTTCCTTCTCTCTAAATCCCACCTCGAGTCCCGMGCCTTTAGAGGCAGTCGGCTGGCTGCCCGGTCGCCAGCAGGGGAATCGGCCCCTCTCGCCACCGTGCACCCGACTCGGGCTCTTCTGGGCACCGCCAAGTCCGCTCGGTGTGCGCCCATCGCCTCCTYCCCGGGGCTGACCCCAGGGCCCCTGGGCCGCCGCGGCGCTCTTCCCTAGCCTCTCCCGCTTTCGGCGGTGACCGGCCCCGGGGAGTCGCGAAGCTTTCCAGCACAGCCGCTCTTTGGGCGGTGATACCGTCCCCGCGCCGCCGCCGCCGCTACCGSCGCCTCCAGCGTCTCCCCGGCCGGGCCTCAGCCCAGCCCGCGGCAGTCCACGTGGCTCGGCCGAGCTATATTCGGCTCTCAGGAAGCCCCAGAGAGGGGAAAGCCGAGCCGAGTCCGGCGGGAGGGGCGCCGGGGAGCGCGGGGCGCGGAGGGCGGGCGCAGGGCGGAGGAAGGGGAGGGCCGCGCGCCGAGGAGGCGGTGGCCGGGCTCAGGCGCGCCCCGCTCGCGGCCCCGGCCGGCCACGGGAGGCGGCCCCTCGGTGGTCGCCCCGCCTCCCGCTCCCGTTACACCCCGGGGAAGGTGTTCCCGAGACCGCTCCCATCCTCACCCCGCCTCCCGCTTCCCCGGCTCTAGCCTCCGCCGGAGGAGCCCCACTATGCCAGACAGTTTCGACACTTTGCAAAGACAAAGAGCCCTAGACCGGAGGGAGGAGAAAGAAGAGGAGGAGAAGAAGGGGAGAAAGGAGGAGGAGGCTCTGTGAGCTGGGCAGGGGTGAGTATTCGGGACACCCGCGTCTTACATACTCTTCGGAACCCCTCCATGCCCAAAGCCGGGAAACTCTAGCCTGTCTTCAGCGGTGGTGAGTGTGCGCGCGAAGCCGAATGCTGCCCGGGGTGCGCGGGGGACTGCGTCCGCGCGAGTTGGGGTTCGGGCAGTTTCCTGTGTGTTCTCCTAGTGCAGGGGCGATAGTCYGGACCCAGGAACAGAAGGGGTAGGCAGGGGACTAGCAGGGTGTGACGGTGGAGGTGGGAATGAAGACCCCAGGCACTGGAAGAAAGATACCGGTAGGGAGACCCCTTCCCGGGCCGCAGCTACCACCTGGATCTTTGGGAGAGGAAGGTATGGGAGGAGGCTCGGGCTCTGGGGTCTCCAGAGCTTACTGGAGGAACCGCCCGGAGCTCAGCAGTCAGCCTACAGCCGTCTRGGGCAGCGGTCCTGTAGCGGCCCCAGTGACATTGCGCCCGGCACCGGTGGGATCTACCCGACCCGCGCCAGGGGTCAGAAGACCCGTAGGGGCAGCGGGTACCCTGTGCTCTAGAGTGAAGCCGGGGTCTCCGGCTGGGATACCGCGGGGGCGCGCAGAGGCCGCTAGTGATCTGGCCCAGAGGCGATGGGACAGTATCCGGATCCAGTCTCCCAATCCGTTGTGAGCAGGCGCAGACTCAGGTGGAGGCTATCAGCTCCCCGGACGACTCCAGCCTAGGCTGCCCCGGATCAGGGGAGAAGTTGGCGCCAGGGACCGGTCAGCTGGACGCGGCGTGGTGGGAGGTGAGGGATTCCGGTGGGCGGAGGGATCACAGTGGCAGTGGTGGTGTTGGTGGCAATTCGAAACTCTTGAGTCCTCCCCAGCCCCGTTAGGCGTCTCAGCTGCTAAGAAATAATGTGACAAAAGTTAGCAACTTGTCTGCGTCTCTAGCGTGTGTGACCTGCGCAAGCAGGGTCCGCCCCTTGTAGGAGTGCACTGGGATGGAGAAGGGTGACTCTGGGGCTTGGCGAGTTGCTGSGGGTACAGCTAGTTCGGAATCGGGACTGTGGCGCAACTTTCAGCGTGAGTGTTTGAGAGTGACCTTGCAGGAGTAAGCGCCGCCGAACTTGAGATGGGGGTTGAGGCTGCGCCCCAGTTTAGCAYAGATAAACCCTCGCCTTGCCTTGTGGCCAGGTCTCCCAGCTGGGCTCTGTACGCTGGAGCTGAGTCTCTCCTCTCTCCAGTGCGAGGGTCCTAGCCGKCGCCTACCACGCACCCGGCGTGGTGGCACTCCGCGAGGGGGGCACGTGCGGGCCCAGAAACGCAAGAGTGTGTGGGGGCAGGGCCGGCCACTGCGTCTCGTGGGCCAGGCGAGTCCCGCAGAGGGAGACAGCCCTGACCCTGAGGGCAGGGACAAGCTTGCCGCGTCGCCGCATCAGACATTCGCGGGGTTWTCACGTGTGATTCCGGGGACCTCTCGCCTTTCTCGGCTTATCGCCCTCGCGGGTCCCCACGCCCAGCGATCTGTGCCGAGATGGTTCCCCAGGGAGACAGCGAGCGCCCACCCCCGCTCTGCGGCTGAGTGGGGGCGGGGAAGGGGAGAGATGGGGAGAGCCTCGCCAGCCGGAAAACGGCGTGAGCAGGGAACGAGATTGCCCAGTCGCCGCCACCGCACCTGACACACAGTAGGTGCATACACTGTTCAGTGACAAGGCCGCTACGATAGGGGGAGCTGACAGGGGCCCGACACCTTCTCTCCTTCTCCTCCCCATTTCTACTACTAAATTCAAATTCACATATTTGGTCTAGCCCTTCGGCTTCTGAACACGTCTTCAGTCCCTACTGCGTGCCACATTCCACTCCTGGCACGTTCCTAGAAGCTGCGGGCGGTGCCCCCTGGTTTTCTTTCCAGGGTGCTGCGGGAGAGCGCGCACGGCTCGAAAACGCAAGGTGCACTGCCCCCTGCTGGCTACTGTGGAAACTGCCGCCTGGCTCCTCGGTGCGGAAGGGGCCTGGAGGCCTTAGGCAGAGTCACTCTCCGCACTTTCCTGTACCTCCCCTTCCTGCCCCAAGCCCCAGGACCAGGGTGATTTTCCGAAATCCCCTAATGGACTGAAATGACACACCAGAGTTCACCGTGCTGAACCTCCTGCCTCTGCCCAGGTCTGGGTGCCAGTGGGGTCTCTTCTTGACTCCTATCATCTGCCTCTGCCTCTCTGACTTTGAGGATGAGACTTCACCTCCCACAGTCTCAGTTTCCATATCTGTGACTTGAGTCCATTACTACTATCTCCAAACTGTGTCCGGCAAAATAGGTATTCCATATAAAATGTGAGTGTGTGGATAGGTGTGAACTGTGTACACATAAGTTCAATACCTATGTGTGATGCATGTGCCCCGACTTCAGGTCTGGGCAGCAGGAGATCCACCACACAGTTTTGGCTGAATAAAGAAAGGAAAGACTGGATAGAAGGCTCCTTCTCCTGCCTTTCTGAAATTGCACAACTGCTGACATTTGGTGTCCTGCATGTCACTGTTGGCGTGGTGTCAGCAAGCAAGGCCAGGACTGGACTGAGCAGGGGCTTCACCTCACCTTCCTAGGCTAGAGGCCACAGTAGCCTACTGTGCTCTTGGGGTGAAGGGGGGGTGTGGTTGGAAGTGATGGCAGAGGGTGGCATTCAGTGTGGATTCAGGTCTCTGCAGTGGCAGGCAGAGGCCGACTTCTGAGCAGGTCTGTGGCCGAGGATAGGTCTGTGATCCTGCATGCAGTATCAGGCTCCTGCCCCACCTCACTCCTAAAATCCGGGGACCATCACCAATATTGGGAGCACTTGGACCCCCCACCCCCAGGCATGGGGAGCAGGTCCATGTGTGGGCCTGGCAGGGAAGGGTATAGACTTCACACCAGGTGGCTCTGTCTCCCCTCCAAGCAGCCCCCAAGCCAGGACACAGACCCCCAGGGAGGAGCCTCTTGGGATGACTGGCTTTCTGACCTCCTGGTTAGTTTACCTTGAACTTTGCTAGGGTCATCCCTGATAAGAGGTTGCTGACTCAAAGGAATTATCTGTGGATAGATCTGTAGGATCTAAACTTTAACTCTTATCTCAACCTCTCCTGTACCACAGAGCAAGCAAGAAAGGCAAAATTTATGGGCCATTTGTCCTTATATAGTTGTCCCTTATCCTTAAGTATGTTCCATGACCCCAGTGGATGCCTGAAACCATCCATGAACAGGCACTCCTAGATGTACATAGCCGTGATAGACTTCATAAATTAGGCACAGGAAGGGATGAATAAGAACTAGTAACAACATAGACCATTTATAACCATATACTGTAATATAAGTTGTTAAAAAGTACGGATTGTTTACTTCTGGAATTTTCCATTGAATAGTTTTGGGCTCTAGTTGATTGCAAGGAACTGAAATCGAGGAACTGAAACCTGGGAAATAAAACCAAGCATTGGGGACTTCCGTGGAGTTTTGTGGTGAGTCCTAGACACATGTGTGCACAGCCTCCACAGGCCCAGGGAGAGCCAGCCTGGGCATGAAGAATTCTAGACTAAGGTTTATGCACAGTGACCTGAAGGGAAACTTCAGTGGCCCTGTGTGCAAACCTGGGAATCTGAGAGCCGTCTCAGGCTCTGCTTTGGTCACAGGAGCCAGATGTGGGCTCGTGAGAGTCTGCATTTGAGCCTCTCTGCTAGTGCTCGGTTGCTTTGCAGCCTGGCACCCAAGCTATTCTRGGCTCTGGATCTGTTTCATTCTGCAAAATGAGAGGCTCTGCAGTTCTGTTGACAGTCACCTTTGCTCCATTAAAGCTTTTCTTTGTGAAGACAGGCCCCACCTCATTTACTTTGGCTACAAATTCTTCCTCAAAACTGGCCTGGCATTGCAGCCCTGACTGGGGAGACTGGACCAGCCACTACCCTGTGCCAAGGGCATCCCTCCTCACACACACAGGTGGCTCTGGACCTTTGGGAGTCCGCACTTACTGGGCAAAGTCATTTTCTAGCAATTCTTAATATGAGATTTTGAAAGATGACCCAGAAGTTTCACACACCTAATGGCACTGAGTGATACCAATGGGGACTTCCAAGGGTTACATGTTACAAAAGGAACCAGGGGGACCTTGCCAGGCCTAGTTCATTCCTACCTATGAACTACAAATGACCTTAGACATCATTTTGTTCAACTGTTTTGCATTAAAGCAAAACATCACCAGGTCAGAGGGAACATCACCAGGATTGTTGGTGACAGAGCTAACAGGTTAACCCTTTGTGCCTCCTCGCTCCCAAACTCACACTTTTCCATGCATTTGAGCCACCCATTGGTTTCCTTGCTGGAAACCCACCTGTTCTGGAAGGCTGGGGCCGTACTGCTTTTGGCTTTGGTGATGGTGGTAGTTGGATGGTTTTGGATTTAGCTCAGCCTGTGTTTCTTGGGAGCTTATTTTGTTGCAAGGTGCTGAAAATACTGGGGTGGAAATACTTGTCGTCTTGCCTTCCCAGAGGCCCCAGTGACTTGAGGAGGTGCCTGGAGACCCGAAGAGTCATGCCTGGTTTGTTTGTGTTAAGAATTCAAATAYGCATGTGCTGAGAGGGGGCTGCAAGGTTCCCTCTGCCTTGAGGGGTCCACAGAAGGATTCCTTGGGGAGTTGAAGCCCCGAGAACCTGGGGTTTCTTCTAGAGAGGAGTCAGTCTGTGGTATTTTCTTGAATGTATAAAAATAATAACTAAGGATTTTGTGCCCTGTGTGTGCAAGAAAATTAAAAATCGGATAACAGATTGCCAACAGGCCTTTCTGTGCCGTCTGAAGAGGTGAGGGGCCTGGGAGTTGGAAGGCTCTGGTGCTTTGGCCCCATGAGTCAGTTACTCAATTCACAGATGTGGAAACTGGTCTCTGGCTGGCTGGGGTGGGATGGACTTGTTACCAGGCCATATTCATGGCATAGAGCGGACCACTGTTACAGACCGTTTCGCTGTGGGACATCCTAGAGCTTGGCCTTAGAAAGATCGTGTGGGAAACAGTGGTGTATTTACTTTAAAAACTAAAGCCTAATGCTGTATTTTGAATACTTATTCTTATCATTTGTCTCGGATTTGAATAGCTAATTTGGGAGGATGAGGTTTAAGGGCAAGATGGGTAGTGGGTAGCAAAAGGGCCAGGTTTACAGGGTGTATTACTGCAGTCTGAGGTGGGCCAGGTCTCCGGGGCACAGAGTCCCACCCCAGGATGCAGGGCCTTAGAGGATGAAAGGAGGGGAGGCTGGGAGGGCTCCGATGCAGAGACCCCAGAGCTTCCTGCCTTCCAGCTGAATTAAGTCTGGGGTTCAGAGGAAGTGGTTGTGTGGGGCTTGGCATCAGCACAGAGCCCGTGCAGAATGTAGGAATGGACAGGTGTCAGAATGTTCTAGAAAGCTCATAGAAAAACACTGGCAATAGGAGGCTAGTTTTAAGGTCAAGTGGCTTGTTAATGACCTTCCTTGAAGGAGCAAGGCCGAAGGGCTGGTCGCAGCTGCATGCCGTTCTCATTTCTCTGGGTTGTGTGAAACTTTTAAAATGTCTTTTTCCCTGTGGCAGAACACAGAGTATTACTAATTAGCCAGAGCAGGGGCCTAAAAGCTGCCCCCAAGCGCTGTTACCAGGAAGGGGCGGGTGCTGGGCACCAGGAACCCAGGGCACCTGAGGTGCTGTCCTGGGTGGCTTGGCTGCTCAGCAGGGATGTAATTGGAGTCAACGTGAGGCTCTCTGTCTGTTGTGGGTACCCTGGACATAGGGGGGCTCCTGGTCAGGGAAATCCCTA